TCCACCAGTGTTCACATTTGCGCATATTGAGTATTAGTGCCAAGTTTGGTCCAGATCCACCATTGTGTGAGTCCACAGTGCTCTCTGGATATAGGTGAACTACAACGCTCAAACTCAAGGTCAATACCCACTAAGCCCTTCCAGTGTTTTCAGTTGGTCATGGGAGTTCTGTGTGGCCAATTAGTTTCAAATCCATCGCTGGTGGAGTTCAGAATGCTCTTTGATTATAGGTGAACTATAAATCCCAGCAACTACAACTCCCAAATTACAAAATCAATCCTCCCCCAACCCCACTAGCATTTACATGTGGTTGCATTGGGTATTTGTGCCCAGTTTGTTCCAGTGAATGAAAATACATCTTGCATATCTGATATTTACATTATGATTTATAACAGTAGGAAAATGACTGTTATGAAGTAGCAATGAAAACAATATTATGGTTGGGGGTCACCACAACATGAGGGACTGTATTAAGGGGTCACGGCATTCGGAAGGTTGAGAACCACTGCCCTATACTCATTGAAAAATTACAGCAAAATGTGCTGCGGGATGTTCCACAAAAAGCCAAAACAAAACAGTTTTTGCAGTTTAATAAACTTTCCCCTTGTTTTTATGATAGAATGAATTAGGGAAATGACATATATAACCCGGGAACAAAAATCGTGTTACATAATGTAATATACAGTTGAGATATGTGTGCCGTTTTAAAACAAGTTTGCCAGTGTGATGTGTGTGGAGTTCAGGAAGCATTTGTTACAAAAGTTGCTTAATTTTATCAAAAGGTACACAGATGACAGATTTATGGATTACCTAGTATGACAAGAAGAGACTCTAAAAGGAACCACCATGAATTGTGACATATAAGAATATAGCTTATGAAACCTGCATTTGCACCAGGGGAAATGTTCCAGAGTAGCTGCCCCGGACACACTGCAGGGGCATCCCAAAGCCATTTTGCTGTTTAGACAGTTACTGGGCGTCAGTGCATTGGTACCAGTGACTGCCACTACTGTTTCACTGGCTAGAACCAGCTCCCTGGCATATTCTTGCTGGTCATGTTGCTTTTGGTGAGATCACAACTGGGCACCCAGCCATGCAGGTCTTTTTGTCACGTGGACACTGGCCACGTCCAACAGCCCACATGTCAAAACCACCGGCACTCACTCCAGTGTTTCCTGGGGTAACCTGTGTATCTTGTGCCAGGTTAACAGCTGGAAGCAGTGCTTTTGCTGTGCAACTAGCCATATGTCGTGTGGATTTCTTGCATTGGTTTCAGAGTGAGTACATTTTATTTGGCCCATGTAAACATGGGCTAAAGGTGTTGACTGGCAACTTGATTTAAGGAGAAATTTGGAATGATTTTTTTTGTATTCCAATACAGTGACTTACTTTTAAAAAGCACACAATAGTAGTACCTTTGACCTCCATCTACACCGACATATAATCCAGTTTCTGAATCCAGATTATGGATTATGCACCGGGATTGTGGCGTGTGGCGTCAGCAATTATAAGATCTATTAACCAAAAGGTTGCAAGTTCGAAGCACCGGGTTGGCATGTGCTGCCAACTGTCAGCCCCAGCTCATTGTTTACCTAAGTAATTTGAAAACAGCATTAGCTGTGATTAGAGAAATTAGATACTGCTAAAAGCAAGGGAGGTGTTTTGTGACACCATAAAGCACCGGGATTGTGGCGCAGCTGGCTGAGTGTCAGCTGCATTAAGATCACTCTGACCAAAAGGTCATGAGTTCGAAGCCAGCCTGGGTTGGAGTGGGTTTCCAACCAATTGTGTGTAGCCTGTTGTCGACCTTTGCAACCCGAAAGACAGTTGCATCTGTCAAGTAGGAAAATAAGGTACCACCTTAAAAAAAGTGTGGGGAGGCTAAATTAACTGATTTATGAGGCCATAAAGAAGACTCCAGCAAAGCATTCCAGCGGGGAAGCATGCGGGGAATGCGGAAGTGCTTCATCAGCGTCGCAGATGGACGATGAAAGCGACAGCTCCCTGGCGGCCAGAAAAAGTTAAATAGCCTCTGTGTATGTCTGTATATGTTTGTATGTCAAAAATTGGCATTGAATGTTTGCCATATATGTGTACACTGTAATCCGCCCTGAGTCCCTGCGGGGTGAGAAGGGTGGAATATAAAAGCTGTAAATAAATAATAAATAACAAATTATCTGCTTTGCATTGGATTATATGGCAGTATAGACTCATACGAGGGTGGGTCAAAAAGTTTTGACTCCTGTGTCATAAAAACATAATGAATGAACATATAACAGCATCTGAAGTTGCTGCAGATCATAGCCTGAATGCAAAAATATGGTTCAACATAGTCACCAACAATTTGTATATGTTTGCATCATCGTTTAACCCAGGCATCAAAACCATTTTGGAAAAATTCAGGGTTTTGCTTCCTGACCTATGATTTATTTATTTATTTATTTGCAGCTTTTATATTCCGCTCTTCTCACCCCGCAGAGGACTCAGAGCGGATTACAGTGTACACATATATGACAAACATTCAATGCCAATTTTTGATATACAGACATACACAGAGGCTATTTAACTTTTTTCTGGCCGCCAGGGGAGCTGTCGCTTTCATCGTCCATCTGCGACGCTGATGAAGCACCTCCGCATTCCCCGCATGCTTCCCCACTGGAATGCTTTGCTGGAGTCTTCTTTATGGCCTCATAAATCAGTTAATTTAGCCTCCCCACACTTTAAGGTGGTACTTATTTTCCTACTTGACAGATGCAACTGTCTTTCGGGTTGCAAAGGTCGACAACAGGCTACACACAATTGGTTGGAAACCCACTCCAACTCGGGCTGGCTTCGAACTCATGACCTTTTGGTTAGAGTGATCTTAATGCAGCTGACACTCAGCCAGCTGCGCCACAATCCCGGTGATTTTAAAGCTGTTTTAACATCATTCAAGTAATTGAAACTGAAACCACCTAGGTTGTCTTTCCGAGATCCAAACAGGTAGAAGGGGTCAAATCAGGGCTGTAGGGTAGATGAGGCACTACTGACCAGCCCATTTGTGCAATCGCCTGGGTTGTGAAAAATGACATGTGTGGGCATGCATTGTAGGGATGAAGCTTGATGGAACAAACATCTTTTAGTGGTCTCTTCTTTCTTATTGCCTACTTAAGTTTCTTTATTGTGGTTACATAAGTTTTGCTGTTGATTGTGGCACCGTATTGCATAAAATCAACAAGAATAACACCCTGTGTGTTCAATGTATCAGCAACAGTCTGAACTGTAACGTGCCTGCCTCCTCGAATCAATTTATTTATTTATTTATTTATCGTGTCAGCAGTAACCATGCCACAAAACAAAACAAACAAACAGATAAAAAACCACAAATTTTGCAAACTTGATAGTTGATTAAATGTCCTTTGACCAGTATCTGGCCACTTGGAGTGCCTCTGGTGTTGCCGCAAGAAGGTCCTCCATTGTGCATGTGGCAGGGCTCAGGTTGCATTGCAGCAGGTGGTCAGTGGTTTGCTCTTCTCCACACTCGCATGTTGTGGATTCCACTTTGTGGCCCTATTTCTTAAGATTGGCTCTGCATCTCGTGGTGCCAGAGTGCAGTCTGTTCAGCGCCTTCCAAGTCGCCCAGTCTTCTGTGTGCCCAGGGGGAGTCTCTCATCTGGTATCACCCATGGATTGAGGTGCTGGGTTTGAGCCTGCCACTTTTGGACTCTCGCTTGCTGAGGTGTTCCAGCGAGTGTCTCTGTAGATCTTAGAAAACTATTTCTTGATTTAAGTTGTTGACGTGCTGGCTGATACCCAAACAAGGGATGAGCTGGAGATGTCACTGCCTTGGTCCTTTCACTATTGGCCTCGAATCAATTCATCAGCACGTTCTTGATTTGCATCTGTGATCGATGTTGTTGGCCGGTCGCTTCTTGGTTTATCTGCAATTTCTGTTTCTGCCTTGTATCCCAGGATCTGATCCCGTATTATCTCATTTGAACTGGATTATATGTGTCTATGCTGCCAGATAATCTGGGATCAGATGCTGGGATAAAGGGAAGTATGGATCCAGCCTTAGTTCAACACTCAAACCACTACACTTTGCTGGCTCTCAAATCCTGAGTTTTAAATTTCAAAGCTTAAAGGTCAACATGTACTCATTGGCGTTTGGAGAGATCCGGAAATTAAGAAACTCAAAGTTATGGGAAAATATTGCTAACAAATGTATCATCCTTATGGAGTGAATTTTTAAAGAGCTTTGTAAATTGTATTGTCGAAGGCTTTCATGGCCGGAAATCACTGGGTTGTTTTCGGGCTATATGGCCATGGTCTAGAGGCATTCTCTCCTGACGTTTCGCCTGCATCTATGGCAAGCATCCTCAGAGGTAGTGAGGTCTGTTGGAACTAGGAAAATGGGTTTATATATCTGTGGAAAGACCAGGGTGGGACAAAGGACTCTTGTCTGCTGGAGCTAGGTGTGATTGTTTCAACTGACCACCTTGATTAGCATTTGATGGCCTGGCAGTGCCTGGGGCAATCTTTTTTTGAGAGGTGATTAGATGTGCCAGATATATAAACCCTTTTTCCTAATTCCAAGAGACCTCACTACCTCTGAGGATGCTTGCCATAGATGCAGGCGAAACGTCAGGAGAGAATGCCTCTAGAACATGGCCATATAGCCTGAAAAACCTACAACAACCCAGCTTTGTAAATTATTACTTAAAAGAAAAGAAAAGAGGAGCCTCAGATTTCTCCCCACACCCACCAATGTTTGTTAACCCTCCTTTTCCTTGAGTCCAAGGCTGCTGTCAAAGCCTGAATAATGATGAAAGTTCAGTTAGTTCTTGCGCTTTGTTTTCTTTCAGAGAAGATGTTTAGAAATGTCCGAGGCATATCAAGTGTATAAAATCAGCTTAGGACCTGACAGGATTTCCACAAACATGTGAACAGTTGTTTTTGTCCAAAACTTGTTACTGCACAGTTGAATTGGTTCAGCTAAGGCATCTGATATTTCTTCATAGGTTGAGGTGGCAGCTGTTCCAAAACAACATGTTCTAGAAGACTGGATGATTCAAGACTATATTTTGTAAGTAATATATATGTATTTGCCTTACTCAGTATGGTGCACTTTTACTTGTTATATGAGTTGTGAGAGTCATGTGTCCTTCCAGATGATGTTGAGCTGCAACTAACTTTATTCCCCACCATAGGCTATGCTTGCTGAGACTTACAGTCCAGTGACATCTGGAGGAGTTGTCTGGTTTCAACCCATCTCCTCCATATAAATGAGGGATTGAAACCAGACAACTCCTCTAGATTTATTCTGAACTAGCTGTCCCCTGCCACGCGTTGCTGTGGCCCAGTCTGTGTATATGTATTTTGTGTGTGTGTATATGTATCTATTAGGCCTGGGTAACAATGCCAAAATTTGTTTCTAAAATCGATTCGTTTTTGGGTTTTTTTTTGCGTTTCGTTATTTAAAAGAATTACAAAATTTTCCTTTAAAAAAGTTCGGTATTTACGAAATTTCGTTATCATTAACGAATCGATTCGTTAAGATGGCGGACGCGATTTGCGCATGCGCAAAAACGACTTCCGAACTTCGTTATTAAATACGAATCGACAAACACACACACACAGGCACACAAGTTTCTTATCTTTTTTTAGAATATTTTTAGAATTTTTTGAAGAATAAAAGAAATATATTTTTCAGAAATATTTAAAAATGGAAAATTAACAAAATGCTTGCCCTGTTGTGGAGCGAACACAGCCACAGGACAGGGACAAACACACACACAGGCACACAAGTTTCTTTTCTTTTTTTAGAATATTTTTTGCATTTTTTGAAGAATAAAAGAAATATATTTTTCAGAAATATTTAAAAATGGAAAATTAACAAAATGCTTGCCCTGTTGTGGAGCGAACACAGCCACAGGACAGGGACAAACGCACACACAGGCACACAAGTTTCTTTTCTTTTTTTAGAATATTTTTTGAATTTTTTGAAGAATAAAAGAAATATATTTTTCAGAAATATTTAAAAATGGAAAATTAACAAAATGCTTGCCCTGTTGTGGAGCGAACACAGCCACAGGACAGGGACAAACACACACACAGGCACACAAGTTTCTTTTCTTTTTTTAGAATATTTTTTGAATTTTTTGAAGAATAAAAGAAATATATTTTTCAGAAATATTTAAAAATGGAAAATTAACAAAATGCTTGCCCTGTTGTGGAGCGAACACAGCCACAGGACAGGGACAAACACACACACACAGGCACACAAGTTTCTTTTCTTTTTTTAGAATATTTTTTGCATTTTTTGAAGAATAAAAGAAATATATTTTTCAGAAATATTTAAAAATGGAAAATTAACAAAATGCTTGCCCTGTTGTGGAGCGAACACAGCCACAGGACAGGGACAAACGCACACACACAGGCACACAAGTTTCTTTTCTTTTTTTAGAATATTTTTTGAATTTTTTGAAGAATAAAAGAAATATATTTTTCAGAAATATTTAAAAATGGAAAATTAACAAAATGCTTGCCCTGTTGTGGAGCGAACACAGCCACAGGACAGGGACAAACGCACACACAGGCACACAAGTTTCTTTCCTTTTTTTAGAATATTTTTTGATTTTTTTTAAGAATAAAAGAAAGGTATTTTTCAAAAATATTTAAAAATGGAAAATTAACAAAATGCTTGCCCTGTTGTGGAGCGAACACAGCCACAGGACAGGGACAAACGCACACACACAGGCACACAAGTTTCTTTTCTTTTTTTAGAATATTTTTTGAATTTTTTGAAGAATAAAAGAAATATATTTTTCAGAAATATTTAAAAATGGAAAATTAACAAAATGCTTGCCCTGTTGTGGAGCGAACACAGCCACAGGACAGGGACAAACGCACACACAGGCACACAAGTTTCTTTTCTTTTTTTAGAATATTTTTTGAATTTTTTGAAGAATAAAAGAAATATATTTTTCAGAAATATTTAAAAATGGAAAATTAACAAAATGCTTGCCCTGTTGTGGAGCGAACACAGCCACAGGACAGGGACAAACGCACACACAGGCACACAAGTTTCTTTTCTTTTTTTTAGAATATTTTTTGAATTTTTTGAAGAATAAAAGAAATATATTTTTCAGAAATATTTAAAAATGGAAAATTAACAAAATGCTTGCCCTGTTGTGGAGCGAACACAGCCACAGGACAGGGACAAACGCACACACACAGGCACACAAGTTTCTTTTCTTTTTTTAGAATATTTTTTGAATTTTTTGAAGAATAAAAGAAATATTTTTCAGAAATATTTAAAAATGGAAAATTAACAAAATGCTTGCCCTGTTGTGGAGCGAACACAGCCACAGGACAGGGACAAACACACACACAGGCACACAAGTTTCTTTTCTTTTTTTAGAATATTTTTTGAATTTTTTGAAGAATAAAAGAAATATATTTTTCAGAAATATTTAAAAATGGAAAATTAACAAAATGCTTGCCCTGTTGTGGAGCGAACACAGCCACAGGACAGGGACAAACGCACACACAGGCACACAAGTTTCTTTTCTTTTTTTAGAATATTTTTTGATTTTTTTGAAGAATAAAAGAAATATATTTTTCAGAAATATTTAAAAATGGAAAATTAACAAAATGCTTGCCCTGTTGTGGAGCGAACACAGCCACAGGACAGGGACAAACGCACACACAGGCACACAAGTTTCTTTTCTTTTTTTAGAATATTTTTTGAATTTTTTGAAGAATAAAAGAAATATTTTTCAGAAATATTTAAAAATGGAAAATTAACAATGCTTGCCCTGTTGTGGAGCGAGCACAGCCACAGGACAGGGACAAACTCACACACACAGGCACACAAGGGTCTTTTCTTTTTTTAGAATATTTTTTGAATTTTTTTAAGAATAAAAGAAATATTTTTCAGAAATATTATGGAAAATTAACAAAATGCTTGCCCTGTTGTGGAGCGAACACAGCCACAGGACAGGGACAAACGCACACACAGGCACACAAGTTTCTTTTCTTTTTTTAGAATATTTTTTGAATTTTTTGAAGAATAAAAGAAATATATTTTTCAGAAATATTTAAAAATGGAAAATTAACAAAATGCTTGCCCTGTTGTGGAGCGAACACAGCCACAGGACAGCGAACACACACACAGGCACACAAGTTTCTTTTCTTTTTTTAGAATATTTTTTGAATTTTTTGAAGAATAAAAGAAATATATTTTTCAGAAATATTTAAAAATGGAAAATTAACAAAATGCTTGCCCTGTTGTGGAGCGAACACAGCCACAGTACAGGGACAAACACACACACAGGCACACAAGTTTTTTTCTTTTTTTAGAATATTTTTTGAATTTTTTTGAAGAATAAAAGAAATATATTTTTCAGAAATATTTAAAAATGGAAAATTAACAAAATGCTTGCCCTGTTGTGGAGCGAACACAGCCACAGGACAGGGACAAACGCACACACACAGGCACACAAGTTTTTTTCTTTTTTTAGAATATTTTTTGAATTTTTTGAAGAATAAAAGAAATTTTTTCAGAAATATTTAAAAATGTAGGGCGAAAACAGGGCAAAGCCTCCCCGCTGCTCCCAGCCCAGGGAATGAATGCAAGCAATGAATGAATGCAAGCAAGCCAAGCCTCCCTCCCGAACCTCCCGTCTCCTCGCCTTCCCCAGCAATGAGCAATGCGGCCACGCGGAGCCGCTTTTAAAGGGCAGCCCGCCCAATCACAATGAGCCACGGTGCTTGGGAGCGCCGGATTGGCTCCCGTCGCACCCAGCATCCTCCATCCCTAAAACGTCATTTCCGAAACGGGCGGAAGCTCGTAAAAAAGATGGAGGATGCCGTTTTGATATTTAAAAACACTTCCGGGTTTGAAAATAAGTTTTGTAATCGTTTTGTAATTGTTAAAAATAACGAATATTTAACGAATTACAAAATTAACGAACGAAACCGCCCAGGCCTAGTATATATGTGTGTATATGTGTAAATATGTTGTTTTGCGCATGCATTGTAATGTTGTTTGCTTTTTTAGTCTCTTCTGCTGTGTTTTTCAGTGTTTTTATGAGTGATGGTCACTTGTTGCTGGCCTGATATATGTATTTTGTCCAAATTTGGTGTCTATTCGTCCAGTGGTTTTTGATTTATGTTAATCATAAATACACAGACAGTATTTTATTTATTTTTATAGGATGTCTTTAGCAGTGTTTCTATACTTTTTTTAATGCCACAATCCCTTAATGCAGTTCCTCATGTTGTGGTGACCCCCAACCATAATACTATTTTCACTGCTCCTTCATAACTGTAATTTTGCTCCTGTTCTGAATCATCATGTAAATATCTGATATGCAAGATGTATTTATGTTGAAAGTCTTTGACAATATATTGTATTTCTGTTGCTATAAATTGAACATAATTAAAGCATACTGATTAATCACAAAAACAATAAGATTGAGGAGTATGAACAACGGATAATGGGATTTGGAGTACATTCACTGATTCAGCTCAGACTTCCACAGACCACTAAGACCCCCATGAATGACTGATTTGAACCAAACTTGGCACACAGAACCTTCATGGCCATCAGAAAATACTGGAGGGGTTTGGGAGGAATCCACAGTAATAGGATCCTAGTGTTGCAAGAGACCTCCAAGGGCCATCCAGTCCAACCTCCCTCTGCCATAAGGGAAAAACACAATCCAAGCACTCCTAACAGATGGCCATTTAGACTCTCTTTAGTAATAATAATAATAATAATAATAATAATAATACCTTTCTTCCTCCCTTCCTTCCTCTCTCCTTTCCCTTCCTTCCTTCCTTCCTTCCTTCCTTCCTTCCTTCCTTCCTTCCTTCCTTCCTTCCTTCCTTCCTTTCCTCTCTCTTTCCTTCCTCTTTTCCTTTCCTTCCTCTTTCTTTCCTTCTACCTTTCCTTCCATTCATATCCTTCTCTTCACCAGTCCTTTTCTTCCTGTCTTCTCTCCTTTCTTTCCCTTCCTTCCTCCCTTCCTTCTGTGTGTTGTGTGAGAGGGAAGGTAGGATGAAAGGGTGGAAGGGGGG